TATATTATATATAATTATTATTATTATTTTCATCTGTATTTTCATTATTTTCATCGTATCGATATCCAACACTTCTGTCAAATATCTCCCTTTGGGTTCCACAGAATAATAAATAATAAAAAACTTTTACTGTTTTTTTTTTTTTGCTTGTTTTTTCGTTTGTTTGTTTGCCAGTGAAATAACCAATACATATTTCTTATACTCAGAAATTAATTTTGATCATAAATTTGTAATTTTGTTACTTTTGTATGTTCATTTTTCTTTTGTTTTACCGAGACTGCTGATATTTCAGATTTATGTCCCTAAAAGGGAAAAAAAGCATTTTTGTAATGAAACTGGACACAATAAATGCCAGTTAAATTGTCTCTTATGGTCTAAAGTGGGCGTTCTTGGCCAGAACAATCTGTCAAAAGTCTGTCTAGACGAGACCACATATCAGCCGAAGAGCTTTTACCGGCGTTTACCTGAGGCTCCCCATTAAACCTGACATGAACTTTGGCTCCAGACATCAATGCAGGTCTACGACTAAACTGCTGATGTGCAGGATGTCTTAAAAATACAGAGCTTTAAAAGCAGGACACTATGACCTATGGCTTTCTTCGAGACCTCTGCCTTTGTAATAAATGTAATAGTTTCTGGCTCCACAATGAAGGTAAGCACAGGAACTCTTAGTAAAAAGCAGAATAATGTGTGTAGCATACCTGCTGTGCCGGAGTAGTCCGCAACGCTCAGTGGGTAGCCATCCTCATCGGGGTCAACGGAGAACAAACCCACTCCAAAAGAGCCATACTTCGCAAAGGAGGTACTGTTCTCGAAGTCCTCCATGTCAATCCTCAGCTCGTAGTTGGCTTGAATGGTAAGTGCATGGATTCGTTTCATGCCTGAAAAAGAGATTTAGATGAAGTTAATGGAAAAATGTGCAGATGAGATTTATTTGAATATACAGAAGGCTGAAAGAGTGTTTGGGTAACCAGCTTCTGCTAGACATTAATGAAACCTCAAATCATGTGACTTGTTGAGGAGAGGCGTGCTAACAACATGCTAAAAAACAGTCAAAACACTTTAGCAATCACATAGCTACACATTTGCAACCACTCAGAACGCCCATGGCAAGTTTTGCATAGGAACTTTCCTAAAAATAAAATGAAATGAAATAATAAAGTGTATTAAAAATTAACTGTAGACTATAAATATTTTTTAAAACATTATAAATTGTGCATTTATTATTATGAACATTTATGCAAATATGAGTTACTATCAGTTTGCAAGTACACCCCATGAGACATTTGCCTTTTTAATATATGTGGGCATATTAATACTAGAAATTTTATTTAGACAGTAATGATGGATGTGTGTGTGTGTGTGTTCAATTATGTTCTGTGGAAAAAAATTAGCACACCCCTTTTCCCAACACAAATATTTTATTTTATTTTATTTCATTTTTATTTTATTTTTTCTTTATGTTATACAAGTTTACCAATTTGTTTTTCAATTTGAAAAGAAATCAGTACAAAAACAGAAAGGGTACTGGTAACTTTCTCCCTGTTAAATTTACAGACATTTTCTATAAATCTAAAACACACAATTCAATGTGTAATCCATAATATGGGAAAAACACCTGTGAAAAAGCAATAATATGCTGAAATATCGGTACAATACAATTTCTGCATATTAAAGGGGTCATATTGTGGGGGCGTGTTTGAACGAGGCGTTTTAGGAGGGCGTGGACAAGTCTTTAGTCTTTGCAACTTTAAGGATATTATCTAGTCACGAACAGCTTGTAACACTCCAAAGAGAAAGGAAAACTTTAATATGCATCATATGACCCCTTTAACACTGGGCCTTTTTTTTTTACAGACTCTTCTTGTAGTGTTGAGGGCTCTTAAAAGTGTGAAATTGACTTATTTGTCCTTATATATTTTCCCTGTCTGTTGCCTTTACAACTCAGAATAGTCTTGATAATAGTGAAACCATCAGCCAATCAGAATTTTTCCCTCAAATTTGTACTTTAAATTTATTATCTAACACCTGCGATTGGTCTTTTGTTTTCAAACTTCTTTGTCTAACATGAAAAGAACTAGCAGTGAACTTTAAGATTCCACAACAACATTCATATCAAAGTTTTATGGGAACCAGTGCAACAGTGTGCTTCTTAAAGCACAAGGTGCACAACTTCTCTCTCCGTGGGGCGAGCCTGCTAAAGACATAACGTCTCTTTCTTAGCTTAGACGGGCTTGAAGGACTCTGGTCTACTTCCTGGGATCAATATCTCAACGGGAGACCCAGATTCTAGTAAGTTCTGCTCTTAATATTCCACCCAGTTTTCAGAGAGAGGAGGAGAGGCGCTTGACAGGAAACTAATGTGCTTGCCTACATATGAATTCCCTTTGTAGCCCATTCGCTGGCATGTGCGTTGCACCCCCAGGACAGAAAATCAATACAGCAGAGTTTTGCTAGGTCTAATCGTAGCTTGCTGCTGGTCTTCAGCTGTTGTGAACCGCAGCGCATGTTTGGGTAGGGTGTTAGGTGAATAAACTTTAGCTGCATGTGGCCATATTTGCTAAACAGAATGTGTTGCTTAAAAAGCATCATACTGTGCCTAACAGATGTTCAACAGCCATTAGATATCTCCTGAAAAAAAAGGGCTATGGGTTATAACAATTATTAACATTAGCACTGACACTGAGATATTGTTTTAAAGTCCACGTGAAGCCATTCAAAACCCATTTCATTTGCATAAACTGCAGAATTTCAGAATGAAACATTCGTAGGACTTGATTTTATCAATCAGGAATTGATTAGACAATGAAAAGTTGCTGTTATGCTTTAAAAGAGGAATTCATGATGAAGACCAGTAATTAATAAAAAAAAAAAAATAAAAATAAAAATAAAACAAAACAAAATAAATTTAAATAAATTTAAAATAAAGTAAGTTTATTAAAGTGTATTTAATAAGTGTATTAAAAATTAATGGTAGACTATAAATAATTAAAAACATTTAAAAAATGGTGCATTTATTATTATTATGAACATTTATGCAAATATTAGTTATGCACGTTGCTTTAGTATTTTTATGTATAATATTCATTAATATTTTAAATTATCTTTTCAGTTTTCATTTTAATTTTAGTTTAAACTTTCACACATTTATATTTTTTAAAAATATATATTTTATTATTATATCAGCTTTCATTTATTTTTATTTCAATTTTAGTTTCAGTTATTTTAGTACTTCAACTTAGACTTATACATATATATATATATATATGCACCATACGGAAAAACCTATTGGGAAACCTGACCAACAGATTACACCAACAGGTACTTGTATGACATTGCATTTCAAATACATATACTTCAATATGAATTTGGTCTCCCCTTTGCATATTGCTATAACAGCTTCCATTGTTCTGGGAAGACTTTCCACAAGATTTTGAAGTGTTTCTATGAGCATTTGTGAGGTCTGACTAGCAATCTTCATTCCAGTTTATCCCAAAGGTGTTTGATGGAGTTAAAGTCAGGGCTCTGAGTGAGTCAGTCAAGTTTATTCACACCAAACTCATCCAAACTTGTCTTTACACAGAAGCCAAACATAGAAGCGTGATTCATCACCCCACAGAACAGGTTTCCACTGCTCCAGAGTCCAGTGGCGGCATGCTTTACACTACGCCATCCAATGCCTGGCGTTGTACTTGGTGATTTAAGGGTTGCATGCAACTGAAATCCATTTCATGAAGCTCTTGCTGCACAGTTTTGTGTCGATACTGTATTAATGCCAGTGGAAGTTTGGAAATCTCAGCAATAGAATCAGCAGAGCATTGGTCTTTTGCTTCATGACTGAGTTGCTGCTGTATCTAAATGCTTCCACTTACAATTGACTGTGGAATATCTAGCAGGGACGAAGTTTCACAAACTGACTTATTGCAAAGGCGGCATCCTATCACAGTAGCATGTCTGAATTTATTGAACTCTTCAGACTCACTGAACTCTTCTTCGATCCATTTTTTTCCCCACTAATGTTTGTAAATGCAGACTGCATGGCTAGATGCTTGATTTTATACAAGAGGTGTGTCCCAATGCTTTTGTCCGTAGCTATATATATACATACATACATATATATATATATATATATATATATATATATATATTAGGGGTGTAACGGTACACGGGTCTGTCAGTTCGGTCCTCTTTCGGTCTGAGAATCTAAAGTTATAAGATAGCCCGGGTGAGAAGCAGTAGTCTATCTGCCTGCCTCCAGTCCTGCAGAATAGACTAACATTTGTTCAAATGATATTGGCATAATGACAGAGATGGTTATGATGGCTGTGAATGGAGCGGGACTGGTGTGGTGCCGTTCCAGCGGCAGCCGAGCGCAACATCAGGCTCTATTAAGCACCAACACCCTTCTAATGGTCTCAGCACTGACTAAATGGATAGGCCATTTGCACTCGAAGGTCATTTCTGTTTCGACCCAGGGACTCAGAAATGTTACACAGAGGTGCGATATATCTGAACAGTCGTGTTAAAGACAGAAGGCTGGCTGTGCTGTTCTTCATGTAAAAACTAATGTGCGTATGATTATCTTCACCTGGTCGGGGCTTCAAACGGCTCCAGATAACCTGATATGAGACCCATCTTCTTGATGCATGATATGATCAGGAACAGATTATAGTTTGATAAACCCACTGTTTTTTCCCAACAAGCTTGCAGCGTGACCTGTTTTATGGCAACCACTGAGATTTATATATACTATGAAATATATATATATACTATGAAAATACACTGTTACAAAATATATATGCATGCATGATTATATACATATATACATATTATACAAAATTAATTAAATATATATTAGAACCCGAGTTTGGGAAACCTTGAAATAACGTAATGCTTAATTCACTTTACGTTGTTAATAACCACGAATGGAACATATTTTTTTCTTTGAATTTTAATATCAATATGGTGCAATATTATCCTATTTAAATCAATGTAATAAATGAGTTAGGTTAAAAGTAATCAAAAAGTAGTCTGATTATATTACCTAAAATGTGTAATGTAATGGATTATGTTACTAACTACAATTTTTGTCATGTATTTTGGAATTAGTAACAGACTACAATTTGTAAGTAATCTACCCAGTAGTAATCTATATATATATATATATATACAGTGCCTTTCACATTTTGTTATGTTGCTGCCTTAAGTTAAACTGCTTTAAATTACTTTTTCCCCCACATCAATCTACACTCCATACACCATAATGACAAAGCAAAAACAGAATTGTCACAACTTCGTAAATTTATTAAAAATAAAAAACTGAAATAAGTACATTGCATAAGTATTCATACCCTTAACTAAATATTTAGCTGAAGAACCTTAACAGCCTCAAGTCTTTTTGGGTATGATGCGACAAGCTTTGCACATCAGCATTTGGCAATTATCTGCCATCCTTCTCCTCATCTCTTCACCTCTCAAGCTCTGTCAGCTTGGATGGGGGCAGATGCACATTTTCAGGTTTCTCCAGAAATATTTGGCTGGGTTCAATCCCAGGCTCTGGCTGGGCCATCAAGGACATTCACAGAGTTGTCTATAAGCCACTCTTGCTGTGTGCTTACGGTCATTGTCCTGTTGGAAGGTGAACCTTCCGCCCAGTCTGAGGTTCTGAATGCTCTGAACTGGGTTTTCATTAAGGCTATCTCTATATTTTGGTGCATTCGGTGGAGTGTTGCAGTGATGTTTGTCCTTCTGTAGATTTCTCCTATCTCCACATATGATCATGGAGCTCAAGTAGTGTGACCATCAGGTTCTTGGTCACCACACTAACCAAAGCCCTTCTCAATCAATTGCTCAGTTTGGCCAGGAGGCCAGCTCTAGGAAG